GCGCTACGGCCCCGCCGTTCTCTCTCTCTACGCGCCAGCTGCCACCACCACCACCAGCATCACCACCTCCACCACCGCCGCCGCGGCGTCGATACACCGCGTCCTTCTCCACCGCCTGCACCCGGACAACCGACGTCGCTGCTTCGACAGCGACGCTGTCGCGAATGTGGATGCTGCCCTCGATCGTCGATCGAATAGGTTCACGCGAGCAGATCGCAACTTTTTCCTAAGTTAGAGTGATGGTGGCTGGTTCCTTTTTTTTTTAGGGAGGTTTTTGAGAGATGAAGGGTTTTTTGGTTGATGGTTTGGATTGTCTGTCTGATTTTATGGGGGGATGTTGGAATCGTCTTATGATATAGGAGGACAATGTAGCATTGGTAGGTTAACCCTTTCCTTACCCAATTTATAATAATACTTCTTTTAAGAATTTTTTATTTGTTTATCGATCATCGGGTCTGTAATGGACACTGAATTGAGATCAGTTTTTGTTGGAGTACTGAAGTGGAACTTATACGGTATAAAATTTGTTAGAGTTATCAAGTGTGACATGTGTCTGTTACATTGGTCACGAAAGGGTTAAGAAGTTTGGGTGAATCTCATTAAAGGACCATGGAATTTTTGTAAATGCTTATTTTAAAGTACTTTGCACCTGTCACACGGGTTATTTTCAATTTTACCTTTATTTTTCATTTATGAGACTGAATATTATCAATCGAAAGGATTAAGAGAAGTATAGAAATCGCCTTTTCATATTTTCATCGTCTCGAAAATATCAACGACAGCACGTTTATTAAAATGACCAAATCTGTACGATCAATGCTAACCTGGATACAATATATAAAAAAATTAGTGCGAAGTATAATTTTGTTTAATGTTAACTGTAATAATAAATGTACAGGGATAGATCAGTGATGTAAGTGTTATCGATCTTCGAACGATTTCGATTATCTATGTTTTGCAACGGTAAGGTGTATTTTATGTAAGGCGCAATAGATATAATGAGATTGACAAAAAGTTTCCGAGATAAACGAGGCGAAACTTCTTACAGATATTCGCCCTTTCACTCGGCGCGTACACTGCTTTATTGCATTCCAACGGTAATGATCTATCAGTGGATACCATTTTGCGCCATTATTGTGTTCATTATCAAATTATCTTCAATACCGTCTGACCTTATGAAGTGCTTATTTCGTATTTTACTTCGTTACAAACGCGAGTCTTCGCGTTCCTTCGAACTTCGTATCAAATGGTGTCTTCCAAGAGAAATGAACTGTTTTGACGATTCGAAAATAATAGTGTCGCTATTCTACGAAACGTTAAAAGGAAGAAAATATCGCAATTCAAAGTGAATTGCTTCGAAAACCTGTACAATCGTCACAGGGAATCTAAATTCTCTTACTTATGCAGTTTCTATCATTTTTATCGCGATTTCTTCAAATGCCCTAAAATTCCAAATTTTGTGCTAAACAGAATACCAAGTCCCTTGGTATTACAGATATAATAATACTTAAGGTGTTTTGACTGACAAATATCGACGGCATTCAATGACCAATTGACCAATTAAAAGTGAATTCCGTGCTGAAGAAATTTCTTTTTTTAGTGCAATCGGGATAATAGAGAATTCCAAATTTTATACCGAAGAGAAGATTCGTCAAGATTCGTCTGACAGAAAAATACCAACGACGTCCAATGATCAATGAAAAGTGAATTCTGTGCTGAAGAAATTTCTTTTTCTAGTGCAACCAGAATGATAGAGAATTCCAAGTCACTTGGTATCACAGCTATAATAATACTCAAGATTGATCCGACTGAAAAACGTCGATGGCGTCGAATGCAACTCAACGTCAGACGAAAACGGATGCATGGTGCGCGGATCTGGTGAGACCCGCGAGGTACCGCCTCCGATTACGAGGCGCGGAACGAGAGAGCACGTCGACACCCCCGCGAATCGACCGAACCGTAGACGCAAGCTCGTTCTGACGTAACACTTGTTGAGTCGATTCACCCCCGCAGTCCGTCCCTCGGTGGACATTTCGCAAACGACCGGGGGATGTGCGAAGGAATTTCTGTTATCAGCCACTGGACCGGTTCGTACGCGGGACGACTTGACCGCGAACGATTTTGCTTCCTTCCACCTTGCTTCCACGTGTCGAGAATTAAACATAAGGCTTTAGGGGAAGAGTCAACGATAGCGAGGATTTCAACCGTTCGATAGATTGTTCCTGAAGCTGTTTCAATTTTAAAACAAGGAAACTGAATTGGATATTTGCGTGGAAGTACTTTGGGACACTTTTAAGAGCATTTCTTTTTTAAATATTGGACTTTTAAAAGAGAATTTCTAGCTTTTTTTGGATTGTCGTTTGGGTGCCTTCTGGTTTTATATTTAAATTATTTTAGTGTATACAATATCGTTGGATGAAATTCTTATTGGAGTAAGGAAAGGGAAAATGCGAACTTGTGAGAATATTCTCGAGAAGAAAAATGGAAAGTTTAAAAGTCATCTACAGTTTTTGAAATGTTAGAGGAGAAGGAAAAAACTGATTTACTTCTCGTGTAATAAAGAAATAATTTTTAAATTATCCACAAACTAACAATTTTTAAATTGTACGATGAATTATTTCCGAGTCGAAGGAAAAAATTAGAAAAATTGTCATTTCTGTTTCTCAGATGATCTGTCATGATCTGATTTGATTTTCTATTCGAGATACAAGGTTTTCACGGCACAGAGTGAATTCCTGAACATTTTTCAAATAATCCAAGGAGAAAAAACAATTCAATTTTTGTAGATGCCTCTTGAAAAATAGAATAGAATAATTTTTATTTATAAAACATTCCTGCATCCGTTCCAGCTTAACATTTCTGTAACACGCACGATTCCCAACAGGGCGAAATAAATATTATATCACGCAGTTGGAACTGCTGGGAACAATATATAAAATATGTGAGGCGAAGCACGTCCTCATAATTCTATCCAACTACCCCAAAGTGTCAGGAATATATCCTTCCTTCGACAGTCCTGACAATTCGTTCGATCCTTAACAGGCGTGAGCAGAATGAGGTGAGCATTCGGGAATTATTCAAAATTTTCAAAATATTCTGCCTAAAGGAATCCTCCAAATTATTACAATTAAGAAATAAATACTAAACTACAAGCTTCATCTACATAATTCTCCCTTAAGTCACTCAAACATCTCAAAATATTGTCCACAAATTAAAATTATTAGTTCTATGCAAAGTTTCCTTCATATTTCTAATCAGTCGCCATAAAACTATTTTCCCTCGCTTCCGACTACTTTTCGCCATTTTTTAACTAACTTAAAATGTTACTCTACATTTCCACGTAGATTCACTCCTTTTTGGATGGTATCAGTAGTTCCAAAACACCCCGTACATGATCTTCGCGAAAAGTGCTAGGATAACATCGAAAAATATTCCATTTCAACATCAATATTCCTCCGAGCGCCGCGAAAAGCTCACACACCCCTGTTTAAGCGTTTACAACGCCACGTCGACGGCTCTAATTTGTAATTTACGAGGTGGCGTTGCAGGGTGGAAGGGTAGGAGACGGGCTTAACAGTGGCAAATGAGCGAAGACAAGAAGTATTATTTTTTACAGGGACAGGCAAATGGTCCTGTGTCCCGCTCCTCTATGACTTCTACGGGGGTTCTTTTTCTCTCTATCGTCCCGTGGACCCTTTCTCCTTCGCTACTCCGGCTTTCTTTCCACCCTAACCGCCCAAAGGGTTGAGACTAGCCGAGCTGTAAATTACCAAGAGGGCATTTTGATTAAATTTTTTATTGTAGCAGCCCGGTCCATTCGCGTACCTGAATCTCTGATTAGAAGCAATAATTCGGCTCTCGTGAGCGCGGACCGCGAAAATGAAAAGCGAGGACGGGGTGGGAAAATGTTGCTTCCAACTGTATTTTTGTATTGTCTGTAATTTGAGAATAAAAGGTTGTTCGTTTAACCCTTTCGCTGCTGCGGAATATGAATATATGAGAGACGGTAAAATTTATTACTTTGATTGTATCGTTTTAAAATTCGGTTTATTAAATTGAAGTGAAAGTTAAGTATTAAATTAAGGTGGAAGAGCACCAAAAATCTTCCGTAGTGCGAGAGAAAAATTTAACACCTATAGGCGCTACAGCAATGAAAGGGTTGAAGTCTGCTGAGAATTTGTGAATTTAGTCATTTATTTGGGATAATATAATTCCTAAAAAATTTAAGTG